GCTGGCAGGATGTGGGCTGTCACCCATATCCTGCTTCACACAGCACCTGCGGGCTTCCCCACCCTGCCAGGTCCAGTCTCTGAGGTGATGGCTCTAGAGGACTTGATTGTCTGGGTCCTCCACCTAAGTGCTTCTGTCCAGAGTGCTCAAGTGTGCAGAATGACAGCAGACCCTTGATGTTCCAGCAGATCACAAGGACAGGATCGGGGCAGGCCAATGCCAGCGTCCCTTGGGGAATTTGTAGTAGAGTTGCTGAGAACCTTGCGCTCCCCTCTCCCCCACCTTTCTGATTGTTCACTGCTGTGTTTAGCTATGGAACCAGCAGTTATTAAAGACCTCCAACATGGCGGGTACAGATCAAAATGGCAACCACAGATAGCACCCTGAGTTTCTTGCTGTGGGGAACATTTAGTTCTAGGAGTACCATTTACTTAGCTGGGGAGGTCAGAGAAGGTTTGAAATCTGGGAACAGGTTAGCTTAGCTTAGACAGAGAAGTGGGAGGAAATTCTCAATGCAGAGGAAGAGGGGACAAGCATGACATGCTAGTGGCACCTGATTAACAAAGTGTGGTGTCAGCTGGTGGCCAGAGGGGGCCTGGCAGGAGCAAGTCGCAGTAGGCTTTATGTTCTGCTAAGGTGTCTGAGTTTTGTTCTGAAGCTAATGCAAAAATTGAAGGAGTGTAAGTGGCTATGGCAAGACAGAGGTGCGGTGTGCATCCCATAGCCTTCCCTGCAGACAGTACTGCAGGTTGAAAGGAAGGTTTAACCCAGGCCACAGTGGGAGGCACTGATGGCTAGAGGGAACTTACAGGTGAGAAAATTGGGAGTCACCAAGTGTGACTTCACCAGCCCCCACAGATATTGAATTTTGTGGTGCCTGTGACCCCCAAGTTCAACTAATTCTTCTGTTCCAGGAAGCCCAGGCTTTAGAGAGAGTTGGGGCCAGGGGGTTGAGGAGGAGGAAGCAGGTGTCAACATGCTCTGATGTCCTCTGGGTACCTTTTGCCTACAGTTACATTTGCTCAGAACTTAGAGGTGGCCATTTCTAGCGGCATAGATAATAGAAATGGAGAGAAAGCGTGGTTTCTAGGTAACCACGGTTCTGTATGGTTGCTCAGTCAGCAAGCTGGTGGTTGTCACCACGTGAGGATTGTAACAGCCATGATGTCTGTCAGCGTTGCTACCACCATCACTCCCAGGACTCAGAAGCAGAGGCAGGGGGGCCCTTCCTAACCGGCCCTTTCCTTCGCTGCTTCTCTGACTAGCTGCTTCCATCTCTGGTGGATGCTGCCCCAGTAAGCTGCAGTGGGAAAGCCGTGGATCCCATTTTGCCCTAACGTTCACTATTCTGAAACTGGGCTGAGCTGAGGCCGCTTTGACCTAGGATGGGACTATGGTTCCAGTCTAATATCCTAAGTCTTGTTTTAGCTCCTGTAGCGGATTTCTTGGTGAAGTCTCCCTAGGCTCCCTTCTAAATAAAGCCTCAGAGAGGCGGGTCTGTAAATGCTGTGGAGGCCAGAAGAGGATGCTGGATCCTTTGACCTACATGGATGCTAGGAACCAAATTCTGTTCCTCTAGAAGAGCAGCAAGCCGTGCTCGACCCCAAACGGAGTCATCTCTGCTGCCCCCAAGGGAGCTCTTCTTACCTGTTTACTTAATGTGCTTGCAGAAGGTCACTTTCAATTCTGCAATTGGGTGACAAAGCAGGAAGCCTTTCTCCCCCAGGACCACAACATCGCTGATTCTCCAGATACCCTCTGTGCCCCAGTCAAGTCTCACAGACTCAACACCAGCTCCCTCCCTAGGGCTGAAATGGAATCAACCCAGATGGACTGTGTGCTCTGTGGTGGTCGGTTGGGTATCATTTTAACTCTGGCCACCAAGTAGAGAGGGATGAAGTTTGTTATATGTGCCTGGGTGAGCCTCTGGAGGTTACTGCCCGGCTTCCAGGGCTTGCATCTGTTTTGCTTTGCTCACTACAAATGTCCCAGCTTTCCTTATGTCTCTTACACTGGTGCCCATTTTACTTTTTTTTTTTTTTTTCCAAGACAGGGCTTTTTTTATGTAACAGCCCCGGGCTGTCCTGGAGCTTGCTCTGTAGGCGAGGCTGATCTCAAACTCCCAGAGATTTACCTACTTCTACCTCCTGAGTGCTGGGATTAAAGGTGTGAGCCATCACCGTCAGCCCGTGTTACTTTTTAATACTCTAGCTGGCATTCCCCAGGCTATAGTTTATCTCATTCTAATGCAACCCAGTGACTTCTCTTCCTTAATCATATGCCAGGCATTGGACGAGGTCAGGAGGGGGTCATACGCCAGTGAACAGGATTCAAGCTCCACAGGACTCACAGACAATGAAAGGAAACAGGCTTCCAATCTACAGACCCCAAAGAGGGAGAGGTCTATGTAGCAGCAGAACCAAGCCAGAGGCAGAAAGTGGTGGCGATGGAGCAATGCAGCTGAAGGCTTTCAGATGTTTCCCTTCCAGAGCATTCGAGGTAGAAGAGACCGCAAAGCACGGGCACGTTTGGGAAGATCTGGAAAAGATCTGGGCCTATCTGAGTGAGAACCAGCAGATGCAGAACATGGTGGGGGCAGCAGCAAAGACAGGCAGGGGCTGCTTGTGGAAGCCCTTGAGAGCCACAGCGGGCAGCAGAGGGTCATTGAAAGCTTATGGAATGGCAGTCAGTGACCATGTGTGTCCTTAAGACAGGTTGGCAGGGCATGAGGAGGGGGAGGGCCCGAGCACAGCAGAGACAGAAAGACCAGCTGAAGGGTGGCTGCCTTAGTAAAGAGCTGGAGGAGGGGCTGGAGGAGGCCCCTTCCAGGGTGTGTTGATGGGAGAGCTGACTGGAGCCACTCTCCTGGAGTCTGCCTTGATTTACAGTCTGGGAGAAGACTATCAAAAATCTCCAGTTTTCTCAGGGCCAGAGAAAACCGTGGAGTCCAGGAATCTGAGTTTCTCAGCATGAGGTCAACTTACCTTTTCCACTTCTCTTTGGATTTTCTGGGTTTTCCCCAAGTTGTGAGGTTCACAAACAACATATCCCCTCCCCTCCTCCTGGACCTGCTGTTTCCCTTGTGACCCATGTCACCCTCTGTTGGGTCTGCCCACTGCCCACTGCTGGAGCCTGTGGGTCAGCCACTTAAAAGGTCGAGGCAGGAGGATTGCTGGAATCCAGAAGTCTGAAGTCAGCCTAGGTGACAGATCACATATTGATGGTCTTTGAGAAAACAAACCGAAAAAGATCAACAAGTAAAAAGACGTTTTCTCCTGGGCTGAGAGGTTGGTTGGTGTTTTTTGAGACACTCTCACTAGGAGCCCATGCTGGGCTTTGACTCCAGATCCTCCCAGCTCAGCCTTCCCCGTGCTGGGATTACAATTTATGCTATGACCCCTGACTCCTCCCCTCCATAGGGCCACTGGGCGGGATGATCTTGTCTTCAGACTTCCAACCTTGGTAAACTGCCAGAGAAGTTTGTTTGTCAATGGATTGCAGAAACAACTGATTTTTCCAGAAATTGACCAGGGGTACCCACAAGAATAAGAGACTCCTGTTCTTTCCTAGGGGACCCCACTTTGCCTGGGCCCAGGAAACTCCCTACTAATGAACCAGCTGGAGCCCTGACGAAAGCTAGAATGTGATCCGTGAAGCTGCTGGACATTATTATGAATTTATGTTTTTTTTTTTGTTTTGTTTTCTGTGCAACCCTGGCTGTCCTAGAACTTGCTCTGTAGACCAGGCTGGCCTCTAAACTCACAGAGATCCACCTGCTTCTACCTCCTGAGTGCTGGGATTAAAGGCGTGCGCCCCCACACCTAGTCACCTAGTCACTAAAATTTTTACTTATATTTTTAATTATATGCATGTGTGTGTGTGTTTGCGCGCGTGCGCACATGTGGGTATGTGCAGGTGTCAGTAGAGGCCAGAAGCGCCAAACCCCCTGGCCCTGGAGTCAACAGAGAGTTGTGATCTGTCTGATGTGGATGCTGGGAACGGAATTTGGGTCCTCTGGAAGAGCAGCAATGCCTTAACTACCGAGTCATCTCTTCAGCCATTATTGTGATTTTAGGCATGTCCAACCTGTGATCTGTAGGCTGGCTGCATGCAATTTATGTAGCCAAGAATAGCTATGAATGTCACCTAACACAAAATGGGGAAACTTAATAACATGCAATTAGGAGCTGGAGAGATGCTTCAGCAATTAAAAGCACTCCTCGCTGCTCTTCCAGAGAACCTGAGTTGGGTTCTGAGTATCCAAGTTGGGATCTGAGTACCTTTTCTGGCTTCCGAAGGTACATATACACAGGTACTCACACATGTGGCACACATGCACACGCACACTCGCGCACACACACACACACACACACGTAAATGAAAAAATAAATCTTAAGGAGCCGGGCTTGGTGTCACCTGTCTTTAAACCGAGCACTCTGGAAGCAAAGTCTCTGAGTTCGAGACTGGACTCAGCCTGGTCTGCAAAGCACAAAGCAAGTTCCAGGATAGCCAGGGCTACACAGAGGAACCCTGTCTCGAAAAAAACAAGACAAAAATCTTTTTAAAATTACGAGGGTTTTTTGTTGCTTGTTTTGTAACTCAGTTGCAGGGCTCTCTAGAGTGGAACTTTGTAGATGACAAAGCTGTGTCGCAATGCCAGAAAGTTGCACGGCTCTCGGAGGGTTTCACCCTGGCGGTGGCTGTAGGGGAAAGAACAGGCGTGTGCTTTGCACGTTGCTAACTCTTCTACTCGCCGTTCTGGAGCAGACGCTCCAAACTCCTCAGTTTTCTCAGAGTGAAGAGGACGCTGGGATTTTCCTTGCACTTTCAAGGTCCTGGTCAGGTTCCTGGTCTTCACGATGACGTCCCTTAGTTCCTTAGCACCGGTGAGTTGCTGGCGTCCCGAGGGATTCCCAGATATGGGGGGGAGGGGGATGACGCTTGGGGTTTCCCCCAGCTGATAGGAGCAGCAAGTCCAGCCCTCCCCCAGGCGGGGCTTTGAACGCTTGAGGCTACATCCAGCCGGGGAGGCCACTGAGTCCCCCACATCCCTAGACCACTAGTTCCCGGAGTGCCATGGGACAGCTGATAGCCAAACTGATGCGAATCTTTGGGAGCCAGGGTAAGGGGCGCGCATCGGACAGCCCAGTGACCTCTTTGAGTCCGCTGTCTTCTGGGGCTCTTGGGATTTGGGGGTCGTCGGGGAAGACAGACTAGAACTTTGGGCTCTAGAGTTCATTGTGTGCAATTCCCATATGCTCCATGGCCTCCTCTCTGCTCTCCCCCCCCTCGCTCCCTTTCTGTCCCTGCCCTTCAGTGTGCTCAGTGCACGGGGGTGGGAGAGCTTCCTGCCCCTACCCCACCACCCGGCTGTGCTGAGCACAACCTGGATAAGTCAGTTTCCTCCGATAGTGACTTAGAGGCCCCCGTGCTTCGGACCCTCAGACAATCGCTTTCTAGAAATGTGGAGAGGGAGATGGAATGGGGTCAGCTCACTTTTCCACATTCCTGGAGAGGTTCTGGGGTCCGCTCCGATGGCAAGTGAAGTGGTACAGTCCTAGTCTGCGGGGGGATGGGGGGCGGGGAACCGAACGACGGATCGACACGACACAGAAAACTGAGATACTGTCAAAGTGGTTAGGTTCGGAGATTGCCAGGAGAGGGTGGAGCCGGGAGAGGAGAGGACACCCAGGCAGGTGAGGACCAGAAGCCTCCTGGGGACACCCAAGCCCATTGTTGTCGGGGTTAGCTCTGACCTTGCCCTTCTCCTGGATGCCTCCAGAGCACAAAGTCATCATCGTGGGACTGGACAATGCAGGAAAGACCACCATTCTCTACCAGTTGTAAGTAACGGCAGGGTGAACAGAGCGGGCTGGGCCTCACGCCAGACTGATAGTCATTTGGACCAATCACCAGAGCCCTTCCCTGGGTTCCTGGGCAGCGGCAGACGAGAATGATGGGAGGACGCTGGTGTGACCTTTCGGACTTAGTGGCTGTAGGCCTGGATTTGAATTCTGCAAACTGTGGGCGACCCCCCAGTTCCACCACCTCCCGCAATCAGTCTTGATCTCACGCACCTCAGTCCTGGCAGGTTTGGAACGCCAAGAGGTCTCTCTCCTCGCTGCTCTTGGCGCCCCCTGGCGGCAGGGCCCTTTTCACGCTTGCACCTCGCACTTAATCACTCAATTGTTAACTGCGTCCCCATCTTCAAATCCCTGGGCTGACCGTGAGCTCTCCCCAAGCTCTGCAGCTCCGGGTCTATTGGACAAACTGCGCAACCAGCCACCCGCGCTTTCTCTCCTGATTTTTGCTTTTCTGACAAAGATACACACACATTAATATTTAGAAAAAGAAAGGTCTGACGGTGTTGGTCAAAGGTGCTTAGGGGAGTGCTTGCCTAGAATTCTGGAGACTCTAGATTCCTGACACCATTAGATTAGAAAAGAAAAATGCAAACAATACGAAGTCCTCACTCCCAATCTTCCTCCTTATATCTTCTTGGTAAGCTTTCAGAAAACACGTGTAAACTGGACATAGTGCTCCTTGCCTACAATCACGGCCCTCTGGAGGTTAAGACAGGAGCATCTCATATTTGAGGTCATAGAGATACGACCATTAAAAAAGAAAAGAAAAAAAAAAGAAAGAAAAACAACCCCCGGGGGAAAAACAAAATGAAAGCAAACAATTTTTTTTTTTTTTTGTCTTTAAAACAGTAAAGGGTCTGATGGTCCTCACTCGGATCTACGTGGTTCTTCACAACTCCCACAATTCCAGTGTGGTCCACAGACCAGAAGCCTCTAAGATTGTTGTCTGGGGTCGCAGGCCAGGCCACACTTGGACCAACTCACACCTTTCTTTTCCGACACGAGTCACGGGACGTCCACCAGCGACAGTTTGGTCGCCCGGGGCTGAGTTGTTCTGAACTGAACTCAGCCGCTCTGGGAGTAGAGGTACGATGCCTAGAGCTGGGCCGAGACCTCAGAACCTTCTTTTGCCTCTCTAGCCTGACCAATGAGGTGGTTCACACGTGTTCCACCATTGGTAGCAACGTGGAAGAAATTGTTCTTCGGAAGACCCGCTTCCTCATGTGGGACTTAGGGGGCCAGGAGGCTCTGCGCTCCTCCTGGGACACTTACTACTCCAGTACGGAGGAAACCAGGTCTGGGAGGTCCAAGAGGTGGCTGCATTAATCCCCTTGCTAGTCACTAACTATACTCTCTGTGCCCAGCTTCTACCACCTGGGATGTGACTGAGTAACCGCTACTCAAGCTGGGCTGAAAGGGAACAATAAACAATGTGTGAGATACTTAACTGCGTAGCGTTCGTGAAGATTTCTGAATCCTAAAGAGCAAAACCATTAAAAAAATAAAAATTTAAATATATAAATAAAAATATAAAGGAGAGAAGGGCGTTGGCAGCAGGTACCTTTGATCCCAGCTCTCAGGAGGCAGGGCAGGCAAATCTCTGTGAGGTCAAGGCCAGCCCAGTCTACAGAGTGAGTTCCAGGATGGGCTCCAAAGCTACACAGAGAAATTGTGTCTTGAAAAGTCAATATATATGAGAAAGATTTTCAAATCCTAAAATGAGTGTGGTGGTCCATGCCTAGAATCCCAACACTTAGGGGATGGAGACAGGTTCCAGACTGCCTTGGGTTGCAAACCAAGATCTTGTCTCCAAAGAATAAAATATAAGGTGATTAAAATGGGTCCAGCCTGGTGCAAGCGGAAGGCTGCACAGTTCCTTTCCTGTGGGACTGGGACTTGGGTAGGTAGGGCAGAGGCCTAACCGTCCATAGGAAGCATCTTCACCAAAGAGAAAGCTTGTAGCTCACGTATCGCTCCTGCTGGACAGTTTGTCATCCTTGTGATCGACAGTACAGACCGGAATCGGCTGCTGACCACCCGGGAGGAACTGTATAAGATGCTGGCCCATTGGGGAGCTGGAGAGATGGCTCAGAGGTTAAGAGCATTGCCTGCTCTTCCAAAGGTCCTGAGTTCAATTCCCAGCAACCACATGGTGGCTCACAACCATCTGTAATGAGGTCTGGTGCCCTCTTCTGGCCTGCAGGCATACACACAGACAGAATATTGTATACATAATAAATAATAAAAAAAAAAAGACGCTGGCCCATGAGGTAATCCCCCCCCCAAATGGGAAGCCACCGGTGAGACTAGCTGTGTGCTCTCAGGCTGGTCGGTGCCCCCAGAAGCCAGAGTTGCCAGCTCAAAGACAGCTTGCCACCACTCCCTGTGAGACCCTGAGTAGGTTGCTTCGTTTCTAATAAGTTGTCTTGCTTCTACCAATAAGGAGGACTGTTACATGGGGATGGCGGCTCTTACATGTTACATGGGGATGGCGGCTCTTACATGTTACATGCGGATGGCGGCTCTTACATGCAATCTGGAATGCTATGAGGTTGAAGCCAGCCTGGGCTCTACATAGAGTTCCAGGCCAACCCGGGCTACAGAGTAAGAGTCTGTTTGTTTTGAAAGCCACAAACAAGCAACAACAATAACAAAACAATGTCTGAGGTTCTCGTAACCACCCTGAAAGCAGTCGTAAAACATTCCAGGAGCTGATGGGGTTGCTAATGTTGGGGTGGGCCATGGGCCTCTCTTGCTATGACAGTTGGACAGGGATCCCAGAGGACTCTTGAGACTGTGGGAGGGAGGCCTGGCTGGCTGACCTGGGCGGGGCTCTTCTGCCCACAGGCGCTTCAAGATGCCTCAGTCCTGATCTTTGCCAACAAGCAGGATGTGAAAGACTCCATGAGCCCAGCAGAGACCTCCCAGTTCCTCACGCTCAGTGCCATCAAGGAGCACCCGTGGTATATCCAGAGCTGCTGTGCCCTCACTGGAGAAGGGTCAGTTCCCCACCTTTCCCTGGCCTGGCCCAGCCAATGGGCAGCAGGTTACAGGAACCCCTCTCCTGTCTCCTTCCAGTCAGGATGTGGCCCACAGTTGACTCCAGGCCCAGTAAGCTGGACACAGGCCCATAACTAAGGCCCTGGGAGCCTGCAGAGTCCCTGTGCTCCAAGGGCTTGCTCTAATGGTAAGCACTAAGACTCCCCTCAAACAACAGGGATGGTAGGGACTGAGGAACTCTTCAGAGAAGTGGATACTGTGGCAGAAGGGCCAGGGTAACTGATTTTGTCTAGGTGGTGGGGACAGCTGAAATCCTAGTGAAGAGGGAGAAGCTGTGGAAAGACTTCGGGGGACGGCCTTCAAGGCGGAAGTCACCGACTCTCTGACTGTTTCTTTTCTTTTCTTTTTTTTGTTTTTTTGTTTTTGTTTTTTTCGAGACAGGGTTTCTCTGTGGCTTTGGAGCCTGTCCTGGAACTTGCTCTGTAGACCAGGCTGGTCTTGAACTCACAGAGATCCGCCTGCCTCTGCCTCCCGAGTGCTGGGATTAAAGGTGTGCACCACCATCGCCCGGCTTCTCTGACTGTTTCTTACTAGTCAAAGGAGGGGGTCACACTTCCCTCTCCCCCAGTTCTGCAGGGACTGACTGGCATGATTTCTTCATTAAGCTTTTCTGATGCCTTTGTGCGAAGTACTGTTCTGGGAATTAGAAAAAATTAAAACAAAACAGTGGTGAATGAACCAGACAAAACTTCCTGCCTTGGGGCTGGAGCCGTAGCTGCACTCGCCTGAAGCCCTGAACTGTATCACAGACTTGTAATACTTGTGGAGGCCAGAGGGTCAGAAGTTCAAGGTCATCCTCACTATCCAGTGAGGGCAAGGCTAGACTGGGCTAAGTACCAAGTCCCCCCACAAAAATCAAAACAGAAAGCAAGTGAGACACAAGAAGGTGGAGAGCAGAAAGAAAGATTGGGACTAGGTGGGCACACGCCCTTGATCAAACACCTCAGAGTGTGAAGGGCTGAACTTCTCCAAAAGGGCCGTCCACGAGGCCTGGAGATTTCCTTTTATCTCCCCTGTCTAGATACTTTTTTGAAAAAAAGAAAACTTTAAATAAGTGAACCCAAGGAACCACAGATTTTTGGCAGATTTCGCACCTCATTAGGGACTCCCATCTTCTCCCACCTAAATTCTAATTCACAATACTCCTTGGGCCCCCACGTGCCCTTCCCTGAGCCCCCACATGCCGTTCCCTGAGCCCCCACGTGCCGTTCCCTGAGCCCCCACGTGCCGTTCCCTGGGCCCCACGTGCCGTTCCCTGGAACCTCACGTGCCATTCCCTGGGCCCCCATGTGCCGTTCCCTGGGCCCCCACGTGCCGTTCCCTGGGCCCCCACGTGCTGTTCCCTGAGCCCCACGTGCCGTTCCCTGGAACCTCACGTGCCGTTCCCTGAGCCCCCACGTGCCCTTCCCTGGGCCTCCATGTGCCCTTCCCTGAGCCCCCACGTGCCGTTCCCTGGGCCCCACATACTCTTTCCTGGGCCAGGCTAAGCTGGGTGATGACAGACATGGCCAAGTTTCCACTTCTGCTCTGGGGTGTTTTTCTTCCCAAGCCTTTGAGGTCACACTGCTACTGCCCCTAGTGACAAAACAGGACACAGAAGTCTGGCCCAGAGACGCTGCTCAGGGGCTCAGGAAGGTGAGTCTCCCAGCTGCCTCAGAGGAACTTCCGGGGTTACCTAGACCTCTGACTCCTTATTTTTGGGAATTCATTAATGTCCATCCTGTCTGCTAGACTGTGAACCTCGTAGGACTTCTTCTCCCCAGGAGCCCCAGCCCCCCAGCACAGCGGTGCTGCTGTGCTCTGGAATTCAGCCCACTTCCCTTCTACCATTAAGTGATTGGATATAACCTTGGCTACCCTCATCTTCTGGGAAAAGCTGATGGTCCTTCGTGCCATCCCTTTCTCCCTGCAGGCTGCCAGCTGGGCTTCAGTGGATGCAATCTCAGACCACGACCAACTGAAGTTGCCGCCTGAGGCCTACCAGAAGCCGCACGGTTAGCACCGGTGGGACACCCCATCATTTGCTGGTGGAAGCGGGGTGTCTGGCTATGGACAGAGAGACTGCCACTGGCCCCTCATTTGCTACTGAGGAGCTGGATCAAGGACTTCAAGATGGTGCGGGCAGAGCCATAGATGAAATGTCTCCCACTCCAACACTGAAGGTGTGAGGAGACACGGGGAACCTGCTGGGTGTGTTGGGGGACCTTCTCCCAGCCTTCACCTTCTGTCTGCCCGGAAAGCAAGAGATTTTTGACATTGGGCCATATTCTTTGGACAAAGGAGATCCCGATAAAGGAGCCAACAGGACTGGGCCAAAACTTGCCCGGTGTGGTGAGCTGGATCGGTGGAGGATGGGAAGACAGAACCTTCCAGAAAGAGGCAACCCTTCACACTGCAGGAATCGGTGCCCTCCCACCCCCTCCCCTTTCTGCTCCCTCTTGGGTGCTAACTCTGACTCCAGCTTTTGGGGTCCAAGTCACCACGTGGAGTCTCTCAGTGTTCTTCCAGTGTGAGTCCTTACTCCTCTCAAATGTCAAGGTTTTCTCCAGGACCTACTTATTTGTCTTTGTGTCGTGATTTTTTTTTAAAACATTGCATTAAAATTTTAAAAGTGAAGGTATTTAGTAAGTGTCGTTGAAAACGTCTCTCCTCTTATTTACGTCCGTTCCTAAAACTGGATTTTGTTTTTTGCCTAAAGGTTTTGATGGGATTCACCTTGGAAACGGGGCTGGGGAGCCGGCTGCTTCAACGCTCTTTTTGGTTAGAGAACTTGGCTATGGTTGGCCGGGTTGAAGGGCATTGGTACCCGCTAACCAGGACTTGGGGGAGGGGGACTCTTGGCCCTAGAGTTAGTGGTGATGAGAGGCTTGATAATGGTCCACTAAGAAGGGGACCCCAGAGGGAGGAAAAGGCCCCACTGTCCTTTAGAGGTGATGCTAAAGATGGATTGGAGGCCCTTGCTGCCGTTCAGGGATCTAAACAGGATAGCATGTCCCTTTTGCAATCAGGCAGTGGACCTCTAGGTATCTTCAATTTTGTAGTTTCCCTGAGATGTTGTTATGAAAGAAAAACTTGTGAATTCTAGGCCTTTCGGTCATACTTTATGTTTTCATTAGGTTATTTTTGACATAACAAATATTCTAAAAACACAGCAGGGAACCTAAAAATCTTTTCCATAGAAATTCATTCGGATAAGCCTTCTCTAGCACATCGGGGGTATAGCTCAGTGGTAGAGCATTTGACTGCAGATCAAGAGGTCCCCGGTTCAAATCCGGGTGCCCCCTCGCAGCGCTTAGCTGTGCAGCTTCTTTTGCTAAGCTGACCTAACTTGAAACTTTAGAGAGGGGTACTCCCCGAGTACCCCGCATTTTGCTGACGCGGTGGGCCGGCCTCTACCCCGAGGCAGCCGCTCGTGAACCGCGAGGAGTGGGTGAGTGTACTCAGGTGCCGGTGACCTCGACGGCTGTCCCTCCGTCAGGGAGAGCGCGGAGTGTCCAGGGTCGGGCTGAGGTTGGAGGCAGAAGGTCGGGAGAAGTCGCGTGAATGTGTAGGAGGGAGAGGAGAGGGCACGCGGAGAATAGTGGCGGAGCTGCAGAGTGGGACCCCGCCCAGAGGCGCGCCCCGGCCGCCAGGGATCGTCTGTATCTTTCTGGCTACTTTTGCTCGGACCGGCAGGAGGACTCTCAGAGCGCCGGGAAACACTTTTTGTTTTCAAGCAAGCAGTCGGCACGTTAGTTCCTTATAATTCCTGAGAACTTCGAACCCGATTCTGCCCTTACTTTTAGAGATGCTTTATTGCGCCTGCGCCAGAATCACATTTAGTGGTTACTGGCGCACACTGACCGGCAGAGGGGGTATAGCTCAGTGGTAGAGCATTTGACTGCAGATCAAGAGGTCCCCGGTTCAAATCCGGGTGCCCCCTGCTGTATGTTTTTTTTTTTTTACACATCCAACATTTATTTAGATGGCTTCCTTACTTACGTTCCACGTGTTTTTATGGTAACGTTTCGTTCGCCAACTTCCAGACAGTCGGGAAGCAATGACGGCGGTAGCGCCTCTCAGGATGTGATCACTAGCAACACTTTAGGTCCATGCTAGAAATGAAGATTCCTGTGAAGTAGCCTGGGGTGGGGCTAGAAATGTGTGTTCTGAGGAGAGCTCCAGGCGCACGCCCAAGTTCTAGAGGCTTGCGTTTAGAAACTTGTAAACAACACTTCTTCTAATACTTCCAAGTTGCTGCTATTGCCTGACCCCTAATAAAAGACCTTATAAAATTGCAGCGCGGGCACCAAGCCTGGCGGTGCACGAAGACACCAGACCCAGGTTGGAGTTCCGTCATGGGACTTTCTAGAGGCTCTCCATGGCGCCTGCGCCGGCGGAAAGAAGTCGGGAGAGCTGCAAAACGCTAACTCGCTGGCTCCTCCCAAGTCCACTGGGTGGCGATAGGAGGCTGCAGCTGGAAAAGACAGCCAATTCGGTTCTCCCCGTCCCCCGCCCCAGGCTGTCAAGGGAGAATTCATGTTAGGATTTGGGGATTCTTCAGGTTAGGATTTAGGGATTCTGTGGTCCGCTTGGTGGGACTCACACCAGTAATCCTCTCAGTAACCAGAAACAGGAAGCTTGGTCCTGAGTTCGAGGTCAATCTGGTCTAAAATGTGATTCCCTGTCTGGAAAAAAACAGTAACAACCAAAAACTTCTGCTGCAGCGCTTGCCTTGGGCTCTAGTATTCCACAAAGGGTTGAGGTCGGAGAGAGGCAGCCTCTGGACTCTTGGAACAGAGAGAGTGGAACTGTATCCTGAAAGAGGAGAATTTAGTTTTCATTTCCTTCCTCGGGTCCTTCCTTCGGTCTCCGTGTCAGGCTACCCACCTACTCAAGACCACAGGCTACTTCTCCTGTCCCCTCGCCCCAGCACCCTCCTTCTCGGGATGTGCCCCATGAAGCAGCCTCTGCACCCTTTTCTTCCGCGCTCTTTAGATCTCCAGCAGGGAGGAAGCCAGGGTCCCTCAGTCTTCTCCACTCTCTAGGCCCCAGTTCTTCGTCTTCACACAAAGTAGGTCACAGGCATCTTTGCGCCTTGACCTGGTTCTGTGCCGTCTATCAAATCTCCTAAATTGCGGGTATTTTTATTCTCTCCTGGAAGGAAAAAAAAAAAGGTGCCCTATTCCCAGAGTACGGTTGGTGGCAGTGGGCGCCACTTCCAGGCGCTGGGGTCTAACTTTGATTGGGTCTGACCTCCTTGGGGAGGGGGCATCCGTGCTGCTCCAGAGTGGGAATGTGCCAGATTCCTGCACCTACATGTCCTACCGGGCTGGGGGTCGGAGGAGAGCCCGTGTTGGAGATAGGGTGTGAAGTAGTGAAATGGGGGATGCAAGTCGCGCCTCTGCTGGGGCAGAAACTGGGAGGCTCGGCTGCGGACGAGTCCTGGTGCGTGGGTCGGTGTGAACGCTTAGGCAGAGCACCAGGAAGCCACAGAAGTCTAAGAACCAGCTCAGAAAGTCACATGCCTGGGGATGAGCGGCAGGAGCCAACGGCCCAAGTAGGGGCGCTTCCTGGGGGTCCTCCACTGCGGCCTTTTCCCCGGTCTTCTGGGCCAGTCGCGTTCTGGTGACCAGAGGTGTCTCGGCGCGGTCCCGGGTCCCGCGGGGCGCGGCGCGGAGCTCCGGGAGGCGGGGACCCCGGCGTCGCGCCCCGCCCTCCGGGCCCTCCCGCCCGCGCTCCCCGAGGCCGCAACGCCGCGCTTTGCTCGCGGTGCCAGCTCCGCTCCTGCTCCCCACTCGCCTAGCCCGGGGTCGCTTCCTCTTCAGCCGCCACCGCGGGGACCCTGAGGACGTCCGCGCCCACCATGCGGGCTCAGCTCTGGCTGCTGCAGCTGCTGCTGCTCCGCGGGGTCGCGCGCGCGCTCAGTCCCGCAACACCCGCAGGTAGGGCGCGCGGGCAGGGCAGGTGCAGACTCACCAGCAGGGCGCGGGGTATCGTCCGCGGGAGGCCGGGGGACAGGGAGACAGGGACCCTACTTTCCCTGTGTGCGCACAGAGGGTGTGCTTCTGTCGGAAGGACGTGGAGGAACCCAGCTGGGGGTCCCCTAAAGAGTCTTAGGGACCGCGTTCATTCCAGAGAGGCGGTTGCCTTTCCATGCTCTTTCCTGTTGCCACCCTCAGCTGCTCTAGGCTAGGTCCCAGTTGGGCTTGAAGACAGCGTGGGAGCCGCCGGAGGATGGGGACACCCTAGCCCAGTCTTTCTCTCTGGGCACCAGCGTGGTCGGCTAACTTGCTTCCCCTACCTATTGCGCACGGGTGGAAAGGCAGGGGCCCCAGGAAAAAGCAGCTTGCTGTTCCTGAACCTCCCAGAGTCAAGGGTCTCCTCCTGTATGGTTCTGCTTGGCTCTCAATTGCCCTGTCTGCGTCGGGGGTGGAGATGGGGGCTGGAAGGGGGGAAATGGGGGAGGAGCTTCCATTCCGCACACTCCTCTTTCCCCTAGAACAGTTTCTCAAGCCATTTCTTCCACTTGGAGATGCTTTCGGAGATCTATCTTGAATCCCTCATGTTATCAAGAAAGGCCATTTTTCAATACATAATTTAGGTTCTGCACACAGACTTCCTCTGGGACTGGGAATAGAGAATTGGGTGGCCCTCGTTTGGGGTCAGGGAAGGGGTAGTTCGTTGGGTGTAGCTACTGGCTGTTGTGTCAGCATTGGCCCTAACTGTGTGACTTTAATGATCACAATATGTTATTCAAATGAATCTCTGTTGGGATGAGATGGTATGGCGGGGGTGGGGGGGATGCTGGTGATGACAGTGGGGGCAGAGGGCAGAGAATCACATGTTCAGAGACTGGTGTGGAGCCTACAGAAGGTGGCCAGACACTTGGCTTCTAGTTCTGCTGTCTCACTTACTATGTGACCTTGGGCAAGTTACTTGACTTCTCTGGGCCCGTTTCTTGATTTATAAAATGAGGTTACTGGCAAACTCTTCGGCTTCGGCAGTGACGATGAAAGGTCTTTCCGCTTTTCATGATATTCTTCCCTCTCAAACATGGACAGGCAACCGATGGTTTGCTTTAAAATGGAAAATAGGAAGGCACTGGAAGGATGGATTCCTGAGTTCTTGTCAGCCTTAGCCTGGTGTGTTTTCCGGGCTCAGACATGGCTGGGTTGGTGAGGGGGTTTGGGCCATGGCGAGCTGGTGTATTTTCTGAGCTCAGGACATGGCTGGGTTGTGAGGGGTTTGGGCCACGGCGAGCTGGTGTGTTTTCTGAGCTCAGACATGGCTTGGTTGGTGAGGGGTTTGGGCCATGGCGAGCTGGTGTGTTTTCTGAGCTCAGACGTGGCTGGGTTGGTGAGAGGTTTGGGTCATGGCGAGGGTTGATGAAGGGGAGTTGGCTGCATCAGGGGTCCAGGGCATGTGTCACCTGTGTAAGTACAGACTACTCTGCCTTTTCTGCATTGAGATTCATCTGGGAGACGAGGTGTGGATTATATATGCAGCAAGCAACACTGAGGTTACACCCGAGGAAGCTGTAAAAAGCCATCTGGGCG